CGCAATTCTTCGCCTTGAATACTATCCAAAGTCCTGGAAAATATCACTGATTACTCTCATCCCTAAACCCAGAAAACCGATATATGAAACTAGCTCCTATCGCCCAATCAGTCTTTTACCTACTTTGTCAAAACTATTCGAGAAGATACTAACGAACCGAATCATTCCACTCTTAGAGGACTTGAAAACGCTTCCGGAAACCGAATTGATGATCTGGTAGTAACATTCGACAATAGAGCAAATCCATCGCATAACACATGATATCAGCCAAAACTTAGAAAAGAAAAAATATTGCTCAGCGGTATTCCTGGACATTCAACAGCCATTCGACAAAGTATGGTATGAAGGACTTCTATACAAACTAAAGAAAATCCTACCACACACCTACTACTCCATCCTAAAGTCCTACCTAACCAATAGACAATTCATGGTTAAATACTTAGACGCCACAACCGCAACATTTCCAATAGAAGCAGGCATATCCCAAGGTAGTGTCCTTGGACCCCTGCTGTTCTCCATCTACACTGCCGATTTACCAATATTAACAGAAATAACTATAGCGACATTTGCTAACGACACAGCGCTATTAGCATCCCACGTAGACCCGATAATCGCATCATCCACTCTCCAGCGATGTCTCGACTCTATGGAAAAGTGGTTTCACAAATGGGGGTTCAAAATTAACGAAAACAAATTCACACAAGTAACCTTCACGCTGAGGAAACAAACCTGCCCACAGGTGACCATTAACAATATAAAAATTCCTAACAAGGATTCAGTCAGATACCCGGGCATGACTCTGGACAGGAGATTAACATGGAAACAACACATCACAGACAAATCGAAGCAACTCAAGGCTAAACTTAAAAAATTCTACTGGCTCATTTACCGACGTTCCAACCTAAACACTCAGAACAAAATTTCACTCTACAAAACCATAATAAAACCTGTCTGGACTAAGGAATCGAACTATGGAGTACAGCAAGTAATTCCAACATTGAAATAGTTCAACGCTTCCAATCGAAAACACTAAGATCCCTAATAGATGCAACCTAATAGATGTTACCAAGGAAGCAATACATCGCGACCTCAAGATACCCACAGTCAAAGAGGAAATAACAAAATGTAGTAATAGATATATCAAAAGAGTTAACAAACATCGAAACCCTCTAATTACTAAATTACCTAATACGTCGGACCAGATCCGCAGACTAAAAAAACACTATCCGTTAGACCTAAGCATTAGATTCAGCTAGATATTTCTAATAAGTGATATTTACGTATTTGTTATATTATTATTTATAAATTATACTTATTTATAAATTATACTTACTTATAATGAGTTAATAAGTTTATTAACTTATTATAAATAATTAGGCATGCCACTGCGCCACGCCAGAGAAACTTACTCAAAATTCTCAATGCGAGAATTGATTGTAAAGTACTTGTAAAGTACTTTATTAAAGTATTAAAAAAAAAAAAGCAGTTAACCAGCTACACCAATTCACTCCTACTAGATGATACAAAATTTTTGCAAAAAGAAGCATTACTGATTTGAAAATGCGTTAAAAATATGAAATAATTTCTATTTTATTTATATTGTATTTAAACACATATGCAACAACGATTAATATTTTTCATTTACTTACTAAACAATGAATAAAGAATAAATCAACTGTACTCCGCTACCGATATTATATTTTGAACAGTGATAGAGAAGGATAATTAGTATATATACTTCAAATACGATTGTAATTAAACTTGGAAAAAAGAATTTTGCAACAGGCCAAATTTACATCATTCTCAGTCCCGTAAAAAGTTTGAACTGCTTAAGCATACTTGGTTTAGCATCAAGCATAATTTTTAATAAACCGTATAAAAGCTCTTGCAGAAATACAAAACTTACGAGGACTTCTGTCGTAAAGAAACGGTTGAGGTCTACTTCCTACGAGCAATGTATAGAGAAGCGACCGAAATATGCTTGAAAAGAGAAATTAATAATAAAAACAAACGAGGCAATTCAGCTTTGAGCGACAAGCCTATATGCAAAAACGGACAAAGTACGCTTTCAGAAATAATTTTGTAAAAGAACCGCCGCAATTTTATCGCTTCTAGTAATGTCTCCAGTTTGTGGAGAAACGATCAGACATAATGAAATGAAATCAGTGAATGATAATAGGTCATTTGCGATAACAATAGTTAAAAATGGAGAAATATAAAAAGATTTGTAAATCCAAGCCAATCGGTGAATTAGCCCTACAAGATGTAAAAGTTTCATTCTAATAGGTTAATCCAGTAAGGAGCAATCGAAAAACATGCATAAAAATTAGGTCTTTGCAGTAGACGGTAGTTGACAATAAACAAATGTAAAAAATTCTTTAACGGAATCAACGGAAGAACATGAAGTATACGATGCGTTCAGAATCATCCCGCTTGATCAAATTGTTTCGAAGAAATCGGGGAACGTACATAAAAAGAAAGAAAAACAATATTTTTATCGAGTTGAGATACTTTCGCTCTTTTTTGAAGTCAGTATAAAAATAAATTCTCAACGCGAGAATTGATTGTAAATTTAATAAATAAATAAAAAAAAAAAGTATAAAAATAAGACTTGCGCTTTCGCATTCGCGACCAATCACCAATGCGTATCCATATACCACGGAGCCCGCTCCCAGGAAACGGCTCTTTGTAGTTATTATTCGAAGTCTATACATATTCGTCTGTTCGTTCTTGCTATCGAATTTTATTATTTATAAAATTACTTTTAGTCAAAATGAGTAGAAAAGATAATTATGATATTTATGTTGGTGGTAAATCTGGAATTTTCAAAGGTAATTGTAAATACTTAATTCTAACATTATGTCTACTTTAATCTGAAAAATCGGATGTTTTACAATAGGTTAGGAGAATACATTAACCTAAAAAGATCGTTTTTATTTTATGTACGAAATATTGTGTTAATAATAATGGCAGCTAAACGAAATATATAAAATTCAATTGTGCATTTTATCGACAGGTGTAAGAGTAGATAAAAAACAATGTACATCACAAAATATACAGAATTTGGCTTCCATAACTGATAACGATGAGGTTACGACAATGTCTTGGGGTGATGATGAGGAAAGAGAAATTCTAATTGCGTGTGGTGTAAAAGACATTAGGAGGTCATGTATAATAAGTCATTTATCGATTATACTGAAATTTCATTTATTATTTATACAAATATCATAACTTCTTTTATTTTACAGTATAAAAGTTTATGATACCGATTGTTCAACATTTACATGTTCCTTCTTTTGCAATATTGGAGCAGGAAAAATTACTGGCATATCTCGATATAATGAGTAAGTAACTTTTAGAAATATCAAATAGTATTACGGTATATAATTTTAATATGAGATTTTATTTACAGAGCAATTTTGTCTGCTGTACAATCAGGAGAGATAAAACTCTGGCGATTTCAAGAAGATGGATTTTTGATGAATGCTGGTAAAAATTTAGATAAAATGCGTCATTCAAGAATAAATAAACAAATAATAGCTACTGGAGGTCAAGAACATGCATTAAAATTATTTGATATAGAAAAACAAACACAAATATTTATAGAGAAAAATGTACCTCCTGATTGGTTACAGTTAAGGGTTCCTATCTGGATTTCTGATATAGATTTTCTTCCTGGTACGGAAGAAATTGTTACAACTAGTAAATACGGATATGTAAGATCTTAATTGATATATGTATGATTCTAATATTTAGTTGTTACATTATGTAAACATTTTTTCATTGTACAAAAATGAAACTTTTAAGGTGCGTTTATATGATCCAAAATCACAAAGAAGACCTGTTATAAATGTTGAAGTAAAAAATGAAGCATTAACAACTTTAACTGTGGTGCCACAAAAAAGGTATGTGTATATAACATACATAACAAAATGTAATGTATATTTTTTAACGGATATCATACATAAATATGAAAAATTGATTATCTAATTGTAGGCAGATTATAGTTGGTTCTGGCAAAGGTATAATGAATCTCATAGACTTAAGAAAACCAGCTAAAGTATTAAATACATATAAAGGATCAGTTGGAGCTGTAACAGGAATAGCTTGTAGTAAAATTGAACCTTACATTATTAGTGTTGGTTTAGATAGATTTTTGCAAATACATCATATGAATACAAAAGAATTATTAAGAAAGGTAAAAATAATTCAGTATTGGGAAATTTTATATTAAAGAATAGTATTGCTATTTATTATATATGCTATTTATTTTATATATTGTTGCTATTTATTATATATTGTCCTATATTGCAGGTATATTTGACGTCAAAAATATCATGTATGTTGTTACGTTCAGAGTTTTCATTTGCTACGAATAAAGAAGTTAACGAGGAAAATACACAACAGTGTAAGAATAAAACCACTAAGAATTTTCAAGGAAAACAGCAAACTATGCAAAGCAATTCAGATTCTGATTCAGAATATGATATGTTATTTGAGAAAATGCCAGTAATTAGTAACAAAGAAGATAGATCAATGGAAAGAAAGCAAAGGAAAACAAATCCTTCAAGATTAGATAATGAAATTGTAAGTGATTTGTTATATTTCTTTTCTTTTCTAATTGATTTACAAACTTCAATTAATGAAGATAAATGATATTCTTTTTATTTTTTAATATGCAGATTTCCCGTAAACATGAACTAAGGAAAGATGAACTGTCAAAAAGACAGCATAAGAAGATAAAGAAGTCAAATTCGTTAATAGAATTATAAGTAAGATAATAGTAATCACGAATTATCAGCATCTAATATTAATTATTAGTATTGTTCACAAGTAATAATGAAAATCTTTTTATATTTTCATATGTTTGATATATGTCATATCTTATAAAATTTTAAAAAATTTGTATTAGATAGAGAATATTAAAGATGTTAATACATATGTATAGTATAATATAAAGATAGGGTAAAGGCACACAGAAATCATTACAAACAATGAAATAAAATGTCTCAGTTACGATGTATTTTGTCACTCAGCAATTCGTTTTTTTTTTTTCATTTGTACCTTACATGTACAAGGGACATGAATAATACGCTAATAGCTTTTGCCCTGGATATACAGTACTGCGACGCGACTAAGTGTACTGTCTAATTATTCGATTAATTCTTTTTATTGTACAATTTATTCTTAATACCTTGTTTATAGTGTTTTGGTTCATGAATGCAGCATATACCGACTTCAATGGTTTCTCACACAACAGTAACAATGTTTTCTGTTAATGTTACATTAACTTGTGCTTTCAGCTACAACATGTAATAATATTGAAATCGGATGCGCTGCAGAATGTAGGCTACTGTAGATTTCTTTACGTCTAAAAACTAGAAAAACAGTGAACGTGACAACTTGTAAAGTTGAAACGTATTTTGTACTAAAAGGAAATAATATTCGCAGCTATAGCACACTAAATCTTATTCGGCTACAATCATTTCAGCTGTACAAAAATCATTGTCCCCTCGCTACGCCTCTTGATAATTAATACTAACGTAAATTTGCTTTATCCTGACTGTGCTCTCATCTGAAATGGAATATTTATTCTTATCCTTGTAAATGTACCTAGGAATAAACTCACTAAATTACAGGCACTGTCCCCTTCAAGATTCAAATAGGTAGTTTTCATCTATATTTCTGTAGACGAAATGGAGCTTTGTGCCAAAAAGGAAAATATATTCCCCGGCACAGAGGCCACTTATATACAGATTTCCACATAAATGTAACACATGCAGATATCCTGCATAATTTATAATTCCACCTCTTCTTACATGCAGTAAGCGTAGAATGAAGTCTGTTTCAGGCTGAAACAGTGTTTTTTTAATAAAACATTTTTACAGGAATGCTTTCTGCCACTCATTTTATAATTTGTTATTTAAACAATATACAATATTGAGTAGAGTTTCTATTTTATATAATTCTCAAGTACAGTTCAATATCGGTGCTTGTTTAATCTTTGTATGATACTATTAATTTTATAAATATTTACGAGAACCAATTTTCGCAGTTTTCGAAATAATTTCTTTTAACTAATCATCACTTACATGTAAAAAATAACAACATAAAATACAATTATAAAATGTTTCATTTACTGTATTTTTTTTCGAATGCCACTTGTTTCTTTGTCAGTGATTAATAACGTATTGAATTTAGTGAGAAATCGTAAAAATTTTAACATGTTCTCTTTTCAAAAGAAAAATTTGTGAACATATTAGTTAATTTATAAAAATCTCTTGCATATAAAGCAAACACAAACATAGAAATATTTAAAAGAAGCGCTACAAAGTAAAATTATATGTATGTATATACACACAAGTCTAAAAAGACTTAATATGTTCGTAATTAAATAGTTTCATAAATAACTTGAACGAAGTGCTGCAAATATTTTTATACATTAATTAAAATACCCGTGACAACGCATATTAGTTGTGGAATTGTTCTTATTTTTCACATTTTGTAGGCCTTTCAGTACTTAATAATGTATATTCATCTCATAAATGTTATTTCTTAAAAAACGTACATGAAATAATAACATATAAATTTAACAAGTATTGCTTTCCTGTTGTGAAACATTTCGTGAAGCTTATGTAGAAGTTAGATAATACAATTAATTTCGAACATTTTATCTACTACCTATGTATTTTATTGTTTGTTATTCATTATCTGCACACTACTTCCATTTTATCGTTATATCAGAGTTAACGCAAGATCAAAAGCACCATGTTTTTCTCTTTTTTTTCGTTTTTTAAAAATATCACATGCTGTGCAATCGTTTAAAAGAAAATCGCTTATTATGCATATCAGTTTCTAATATTCAGACATCCAACGTGACAGTTCATGGATAAGAAGCTTTTTTATAGATAAACATACAGGATATATGTACATGTTTAGACGTTTGCTTAACACTGTATTTCGTTCCTGTCAGGAGAAAGCATGGAAGGCCTCTGTAAAAACGAGGTCCATATTTATTAATTATGGAGCACTCTTTGACATACGACTATTCTGTTTTATGTCTTCTGCACATTTTTCTATACTATATGAGTAAAGTAAATTACTTCATAATCTTTGATTTGAAATAAAATACAAGGATACCAGTATTAGGAGCGTAGTAACATCATAAATCTAAAGGATGCAAGAAACTACTATTTGTTTCCTCGAAAATTCTACTGAAACATTCCCAGTGTACGATTGAAGAAAGGGTGTACAGAATATCATACCCTGAGTAGATAATGGCGTAGCAATCGTTCCTGGCAAGAAGCTCGAACGTTTACGCTGAGTAGCATTTGTACCATAAAAAATTAAGTTTAATTATTTTATACAGTATAGAGCATTGCATTATCGTTTTGTCGCGTCCAGTGAAATTCATTTCATCATTTTCACGCGATTATATTTCAACACGATTACATTATTTTAGATAACAGTTAGTTTTGTGACGTAAATTGATTGAACGAGCGAAGAACAATTTTTCGCATATTTTTCCTAAGTTCTTAAGCATTGTACACGCAAGCATTAAGAACAAACGAAAAACAAGCTCAGTCGTACACTGCTTGATGTCGTTATCTTATAACGGTTTGACATTATAGTCAAACAATTGATTCACAATTTCATGCTTAATGGCATGTTAAGATAATATTGGCTCAATCTCCTCCTGATACGGCTACTTCTCGCCATGCAGATTCTTGAGACTGATTTACTAAAGTTGACTGAGGTTCAGAAATATCTGATGCTGCAGGACTCAGCGGTGGACTAGGTGTTGCGGGTGCTTCTTCGGATTGGTTTACTTCAGCTGTATCTTGTTCAGCTTCTACTTCACCATCAGGAATGGAAGCCTCCGATTGCACAGAACTCGGAGCCTTTGACGTAGAATCCTGTGCTCTTAACGATACAGAACTATCTTTGTTGCTACTGCCATCTTCACCTAAGCATTGATATTTGTTTGTTATTAATACCTTTTAATCTTAATAATATTACTGCTGTGTACTTTTGTCTCGAAAAAATGTAAATTAAGATATATTCTTACCACAAGGCCTAAGAACGAGGTAGAAGAGTAAGTCGGATAGAGAAATTATACCGATCACTTTATCATCATCATCAACCACTACTAACCTATGAACCTAAAAAAGTTTTACATGACTTATTTATATATATTCACAGTCATATAAAATAGTACATTATACTACAAAATTAAATAATTATAAGCTCTGTTCTATTTAAAATGTACTGCAATGAACAATCAATAATCATTTCTAACATATTCTTTTAATATGAAAAATATGAAGATTATACCTCTGCTCTAACAATTCTCTCCATAATAGTAAATAGGGTTTCATCTAATTTACAACTTTGAACTCCTTCAAACCATTCATTACGATGCTCATTTGCTTCTCTTAATGAAATATCTAAATTATTATATGTTTTTTCTGCAGCTAAGTTCTGTGAAAATACAAAAATAACGTATTAGGTAATATTATTAAAAATAAAAGTATAGTATTTGAGACTTATAAAATTCACTTACAATAACATCAAACTTTGAATAAATATTAACCAACTTTCCTTCAGTGTCAATAATTGGTAATGCAGAAACTCTCCTTTCAACAAATTTCTTTAAAGCTAAAATTATGCTAGTTTCTTCTGTTGCTGTTTCTATGTTCTCAAAGGTACCTATCCTTAGATCCCTCAATGTTTTACTGGTGAAAGATGGTTTTGGTAGCTCGTGTATCTGTTAATGAATTATTCAAATAAGATATATATGCCGATAAGTAGTTCCTCTGATTTTACAATTCTTCTTGTTTCATACTTACATAAAGAAACAGGAACCTAAGGATTCGTTTGTGTGTCAAAATATAGAGAACATTTCCAGTATCTGGATCTATCACAGGCAAACGATGAATTCTATTTTGAATTAGAGTTTTAATGGCCTCGTATAAAGATGCATCTGGGCCAATGCTCACTAATGGATGCACTTGATCTTTCAAGACTTCTAAAATGATAAAATTTCAAATATTTATATCTTTGAACATATATAATCTATACAACATCTATCGATAAAAAATATTTACTTCTCCATGTATCTAATTCATGTTCTTCTAATTCATCCATTGTTACAGATGGGCTGGTATAGTACATCTGTAAGATTTTTATAAAGTCTGTTATAGTTAGCATTCCAACAAATTCTTGTCTTGAACTGTCCCATAGTGGTGCAGCTCTCACACCTGTATATAAAGTTATTTATGTAATATACGATAAAATAAATAATTTTATCAGTAATAAATACAAAAATATCAAAAATAATTTGTTAAATATTTACAAATGCATTAAATCATACTGCATGCAGTAAATGTAAATGTTTCCCATGACAAAAAATTGATTTTGTGCAATGAAATGAAATAATGATCATTAAAATGCTATACAAATATATATAATTTTGCAACTTACCATTGTAGACGAGAGCAAAGAAGGCCTTCTTGACGAGGAGGTGCGTATCAAAAACAACTAATTTAGCGCTGGTTGGTATTAGATCATAACACTTGTGAAATTTGAAGAACTTTACGAAAATCTGTGATTCGTCCTCCTCTGAAAGTCCAAATAGTTCACAGTAGAGTAACGCTTTTTGGTTACGACGTAGCATCTTTATTTTTTCATGCGATGTCACAATGTTCTTACAATTTACACAATATTTTTCGAATTACTTTCAAGCCTTATCAGCCGGAACGAATTATTATAACATTTAATCTACATAACAAAAAAGTTGACACTTGACACTTTTACATACTCAAATAGTTTAATCTTGATAAAATGATACTTTTCATACTTGCGAGTACGACCTATATTATAAATATAACTGTTATGGCTATGACCACGACCGTGATTCCGTGGTTGTGACTATATTATGATAGGTTATGGTAACAGAATTCGGCGCCGAATCAAAAGTCTTGGCGCTACCTTTGAATATATATAACAAATATGAAATACAGTTATGTCAAAATAACAAACATACGAGAGAATCGCTTATTAGAAATGTGTACTGAGTATCATGAAAATTTTTTGTTTAAATTTTTACAAGTTTTTATAAGTAGTATACTTTTAATTAATATGACAAAATCTGCGTGATGCCATTATCAGTTAAACAGTGTTGCTTGTTAGTTACTTCACAATGCATAAAAATTAGTTTAAGTTTAAATGATATTAACCTTAATTTTGTAGAGCTTATCATATAAAAAACAAACAGAATGTAAATACAAGAATATTGTTTTGCATATATAACTCAAAATATCATAATATTTTGAATCAACTAATTTTGTTCTGATACAATTTTTTCATTGATAGAAGTATATAACATAAGATATTTAAGAATTCGAAATAAATGAAACATTCTGTATATCAGTGTACTACTTATTTGTTGTTACATCACGTAATATACGCAGTTGCTTCTAATAACAAGGAAGTAAGGTATAACGTTAGCAACACGTAGCCTAGAATTCCATTACTCAGAGCTAGAGTATATACATATGTATGCTGTTTCGCTGTAAAGTTTCCATGCATTATGACGATTATTAACTGTTTTCGTATGTATGGTATTTATTTCGTAATAAACGAAATGAGAAAAGAGAGGGTAATGAATGAGGGAAATAATAGAAATAATTTTGCTTCAGATATTAAAAATTTTATGACGCGAATAAATGAATGTATGTCATATCAATTCAGACGTTACAGGTATCTAATTATGGTTTCATAAAAAAGTATGAAATATAAAATATAAATTAATTTCTTTTTCCATTTTATGCAATATTATATTGTATTTTAAGATAATTTCTCTTATCTCTCTTTGAATAATATCACTATTAATGTAGTAAAACAATATTTTCATAATAATATTGAAAAAATATATGTACATACTCTCGTCGTTATCATTTTTTATATTGATATATTAATATTATAACAAGTTTTTCTGAAGTATTCAATTTCTGATCAAAATACAACAATTTTATGTAAAAAGAGATACTTTTATGTAACCAGTGTTTAAATGATAATATACAAAAGACGTACATGTGTACTTTTACATAGCCTAAATGTGTTAATAATGTTTTCTCGAACAATCCCATTATTAAAGTATTAATAGTAGTGAAATAAGAAGTAGTAATGTACTAAGAACTTTACTTTAACTTTAAGATAATAACACACTCGAGATATTGCTGTTAACTAACTTTTGAAAAAGAAAGACACTTTGCTATTAAACCGTTGAAAAGAACGGTACATAGATATATCAGATAACAATTATCAAGATTATAAAAAATAATAGACATACCAATAAAAAGTCTATGAAATTTTTCCAACAAACGCGATATGAGTTGACGTGAGATTTGAAAATAAAATGTATTGAAATTCAAATGAAAATTTGAAAACTAAAGATAAAAATAAACGTAACGTTTTAAACGTAATAAGTACGAATCAATGAAGTACAGATTGAACAACATGTTTTAATATCGGGAACAGAATATGAAACGAAACACTTACCATTTTTATCATTTTGGTCACCCTTGAAAAGCAAGCAACAGCTTTTTCGAGGACATGCAAAATCACAATGAATAACAGGAGGCAGAGAGAGAGAGAGAGAGAGAGAGAGGGAGAGAGAGAGAGAGAGAGACAGAAAAGAAGGAAAAGAGAAAAAGGGGCGAAAAGCGAGGAAAGTTTTCGAGGACGCAAATATACAAGATCTAAGAGAACATAGCAGCAGCATGGAAGAGAAAAAGAGTAAAAATACTATGAGACGGGGAAAAAAACAATCACGAAACTGGGAGAACTGTAACAACAGTGTCAATAGGATGAAGTGCCGTTGAATAACAGCTTGTGATAGAATAAAATGGATGTGTGGGTGTCATATGAAGTGAACAAAATTCCAGTTAAATTCCCGCCATTCAGATTATATGTATCCTTCATGAATCTGATCACCTTTTTTCCTTAACACGATAACTTTCTTCCACCTTAAAGGTAATTAGGAGTGCATAAATGAATAATAAATTAAAGTCGTCTTCCTATACACTGTTCACTAATACGTTATAATAATTATTTTGCTACAAATTAAATGAAATTCAACTAATTCTCTTTAATCAAAAGTATTCAGATACTTATAGAAATCTTTGATTGACACTGTATATTACAGGTTTAGAATGACTATTCATGTTGTATACTAATTTTTTACTAAATACATTTGCAGTACATATCTTCTGACTTCTATATACTTACATACAATATATTCGTAAAAAATTCTTATATGTATTCATGTACATATTTCGTGAGTCACTGTATGTTACGTGACATATATGGTTGAATAAAAAACTCGTTTCCTCGATTAATTGTAAATTACAGAAAAATCAAGGTCGTAGCACCGACATTCACCGTACACATATAAACCATATACATATATATATATGATAAATATGTAATACTAATTTTGAGAATTAACACTTTTAATTCACTGATATTAACACTAACTTTGAATCACACGAGAGATTCTTTCACAAGTAACATAGACTTTCCAAGTATTTATAAACATACGTATTATACAAAACATACAAAACATTCATTAAAATATATTTTCTACATCACTATAGCAGAGATCATTTTTTTAAAGCTATTCCATTACATTTCATATTATTTGTTTGTCCTTCCGTTTTCGTTCAATTTTACTACGCGTATAAAACGGATAAACGATTACGAATCGATTGGTTGATAATAGAATTATATGGGAAAATAAAGATTCTATTTGCTGATTGTGAGGTCAACTGTAAGTATACCAACGACCCGTAAAACGTGTAATAAATTGAATATGGAATATCGAGTAAAAATCATCATACATAAAAATAAATTCTTCGTTAAACGAATTCTCTGTAAAGGGAACATGCATCTATCTATCGTTAAAGAGATCGCGTTGTAAATTCAAATCGTTACTTTGTACCAGAGACTAAAGTACAAATACACTAACGAAAACAATGATAAGTGCGAGGAACTGTGTGATGAACTGAATGAACTGAACGCGTAAAAATTGACAAAACCTTGGCCAAACGGATGTTTTTCTGCTCGGATAACAATAGGTGAAACTATCTTTTGATAAGGTGATTGTATAGTAGATTTAAGAATTTAGATTTTGATTAAATGTGAATTATAAATATACTGATGAAGGCTCGCTTACTATGCTGGAATAAATTGTACGCGTGCTGGTTAGAGAAACGTTCACTACACGGGCTTTCTGTACAAAGATCATGAAGCTACTGACTGGCGAAGACTGTGCAGTACAGTTAACCTGTCGTTCGTCGTCATCGTGTTTTAAATATACTGATCAAGAGAGTGATGGCGAATCGGCTGGGAAACGCGTCAGTATAGTTAACAAAAAACAGTTTCTCAAAATGAGTATTCAATTATCACGTCACGAAACTCTCAAAGCATCGTTAAATCATCTTTTGATCTGATATTGGGTTGTCATTAAGTGGTATTGATAAAATCCGCAATCACTTAGTTGCCAACCCAATATTTCTAATTCTGCAAAAAATCATAAAGATATACGAAAATTGTTTTGTGTTTAACAATTTGCAGATTTCCCTAATAATCACGAACAAAATATGCAAAATGTATTTGCATTAAAAATTGTTCACATTCTCAAACAAATTTTTAAAATTTAAATAGATTAAACTTAAAAGAAATTTTAAATATTATCCGAAACTGTAAATATACATGTGTAACTATTTACATATTTTCACTATATACCAATTTAGAAACGCTAATAACTACAATGTCCTTAACATGTTTAGTGCTCGGAATAGGTAGGTACCTGTTCATGCTTTGCAACGCGACGCGACGTGCAACGGTCTGAACGCATCACATGCGTCACATGCGTTACATCGATTTTCCTGTTTTTCGTTTTGCACGGTTAAATACAAGGAATAAAAGTCAGAATGATAACTACGTCGTGGTTATTATGCCAATTCTCCAGTCAGGAAATTGCCGTAATTTGAAAATACTCTTGACGTTAAAATGATTTATATGAAATCTGTGAATTAGAATGACATTTTACCCTCCAGTAGTCGTTACAAGTTACAGTCTGTCGACAATTCCAGTTGCAGAGTTGAATCTTATACTATTGAATTCTGCATTCTGTGCTTCAATATTTTCTCGTTAGCGGTGCCTATCTCTCTTTCTAGATACAATTATTGAAAATTTGATTTCTCTAATGTATAGTTTATCAAAGCGTGATGTTTTAACAGCGTGGTGAAAGAAACTTCCCAATTATTAAATTTGGAGGCACTAAAATTGATTTGTCTTGATTAATTTCCAATTTCATGTTCATACGAGTTTCTAATTAACAGTTGACCCGGATAACAGATTAAACGAAAAATTCACATAAAATGGTCTCATCCATCGGGTATTGTACGATTTCAAATTACGAGAAACGTCAGTAATAATTCTATCAACGATAACGTTCACTCATAACGATATAAACTCCTATTGGAAACGACACTCGGAACTCGAAATATCAAGCGTCGGATAGCGAAATACCTTTTTTGAGAATCCAAGCGAGCTCATCCTCGAGCGGTGGATTCTCCACCTCAAACTCCTTGATGAGATCTTTCGAGTAAACAGGATCACCGTCTTCACTCCACCAGGCACCCGTGACCTTCCTCAACGTGGCACCGACTCCCTTAGCATTCGAGTAATAATGCAGGGCCAGCATTATTTTCCATCGTCACTTTCCGTGACCGGACTTTTGCCCCTGATATTGATTCTGTCCGCGGTGACATCGCCTCGAAAATTTCTATCGTACTACCGATTCACTATCTACTCGAACCACAACTTGTTCGAGATTTCATCATCGAAACGCCTATCTTGGCGATTTAAATCAATGACCAAGCCCTTTTTCTTATTGAAATAATTTTCATTAATTATATCTATATTTGTTTTAATGCATACATTTAGTTTTTCTTTCCTCTTCCCTTTTCAGGAAATTTTATTCCATGTTTAGACGTTTGATTGCGACGCTACTATGACTAGTAAAAAGTGCGAGAATTAAATTAATCATTGTATGATGTATATGTATCTGTATATTATTGAAACGGGATTTCATAATTCCAAATCATTCTGTCAATAGTTGCTAAATTTGAACGAAACTGGTTCAAAATTTTCGATATTTAATCAATAAATTCATTCTACGGAACCAACTAAACACAGAACTCAAGTTCTCTATGTATCGTATTTGTATTTGGTTTCTCCATGTACATTGACTAGGAAGTTAGATCGACTTTTGAGTTGTCAGATGAATTCTTCGTCTGATTATAATATCCACGATGCTAATGAGGATAAAAGGAAAATATTATTTTCGGTAATCTATAATGTCGTAACAAGAAGGAAGTGGCGATACACACACACATACACAAAAGAGAGAATGTTTTACGAGGCTCAAATTGAATTCCACCGAGTTTTTCGATTACGATTAATTATACGGATTTGCTTTACACAATAGACCTTTCCCCAATTTTGCTCGAGGATTATTGCAGAGGAGAGATAATATCATACTATTTTTTCATAAAAGCTTTTTTTACAGCTTTTTCAGTCTACAATTATATCTAAAAAATGAAATGTGAACTATACATTTACTAAGATTTGTAATTTTAAAAATTATAAGGAGGGAAACAAATGTAATAAAATTCGAATATCGACAGTTGTAGAATAATAAAAAAGATCAAATAACAATTGGCAATGATGCAAAAATAAATCAGTAGTTATCTATCGATAACATAAAAGTATATAGGCATTATAATTCAGATATTAATGAAAATTAACGACAATTATAGATATTAATCTATAATAATAATTCCTATAATTATCTCCAAGTTCTAAAATTAGATAAAATAAAATTTCCTGGATTGAAGCATGTTTAGTATTTTTCTAAAAGGCTACAAGATAGCCTTGTTTTTTTACTTATACTGCGATTTTTAGCACTACATAATATGTTATCCTTTGCTTGGAAAGCTGAAATATTGAATCTATGATAAAGAATAATGCAAAAAATTCAATTGATTAAATAACAGAAAAACATTTACTTGATTTAAAGTTTAGGCAAAGAGGCAAAGTTATTTAAAAAAAAAAAACGTTATAAAGAAATTGATATTTCGGCTGAAAGAATTACAGAAATTTTTCAAATGAATCTTCGATACTGAATTGAAATTAAAGTGGAATTAAAAACTACTAAATGTTAATCGCGAGATGAAATTTCAATTCTGTTCGTTAAAATTTAGGATGTTTTTGCTGGTGGCGAAAAATTCATCGAGGATGCAAATAAATTGATCTGGGTTCTGATAAAACCGAGGATCGAAATAGAGTTTGTTTGGTCCATGACACTTGAGCTGTTGGACGAATCATGGCAAAAAGTAACTTGGCGAACTTCGAATTTGATGCGCAGACCTTTTACATTGTAATTTATGATCCAATTATTTGGTTGAATAATGTTTCGAAGATTTATAGATATTTCTATAAGTATCCAACTTTATTGTTAGGATAACAAATACTTTTTTTTATAAATGATAACTTCCTCCTCGAGTCTACCAGTCAACTGAAACATGTGGATTTTTACTGGCACCCAAGAAGTGCTACATTTTTACTATAATATTCTAATATCTTATTGCGATATTATTAATTGGAAAAATAAAAGTTTTGAGGGATAATTTAAGCTATATCTAATAATAAAAAATAAAAAAATAGAAATTATATTTTATTTGTAGTTGAAAATAATAGAAATATTTAATACGTTGGAATAGTTTGGGAGGCGAAGCAATTTGTCTGCAAATTTTCGAGGATGCGTTCATTTAAGAAGGACGATTATTTATAGTCTAGGATCAACTGTATACCTCCGCAATCGATATATCTATGCGTAGAGTAAACAGTATTTGAAGAAAGTGAATACAATCCAGCGAAGCGAATTTCTTATTTACGACAAGTTGCTAAAATAAGATCAAAATATTATTGTGTATGGAGGATCTATGATCTATGGATCATTACCCTTAACGTAAAAATTCGCCGAAAATACTGAGTTTAACGAGAAGAAATTTTCCAAAAATTCCAGTAGGAGTCCTTGACAAAAACACACGAATATAATATCGAAATGTTGCAAATGCATAACTTATAAATAGGAACATTTTCATTGCCAATCGGTCGGATATGTGATGGATAATTGACAGTTGGATCTCAGTCAAATGTAAGGTGGTCATTCTAATCACAATATCTCACCAATAGATCTATCTCAATACCTCTCACGGCAATTATCACTCGTGTTTCTCATATACATATAAACATTTAACATGTACCTAACCAACTTAAATATCTTGCTAAAAGAGTCTTGATAATCATACAACGATTGCAATTTTTCACAAATAAAGTTGTTCGAAACAATTCCATGTTGTAATAAAATCTTAAAAAGATTATATTTATATTACAATTTAGAAAATACTAAAATATTACACCACCAGACAGCTTCCTCCTACTTTTTCAAAAAGAAAATTATCCATAATAATCCCATGTTATTATAACATTTAGAAAGTATTATGTTTATATTTAAATTTAGAAAATATAAAAATTATATCCCCCCCCCCAAGAAATTTTATCTTTTATCTTTCCACAAAGGAGTGTCGCAGTAAATAACGTTATCCATATTATGACCAAATTTAGAAAACATCATATTTAGATATAAATGTAGAAAATAATATATCAAATGATTTCCTCTTATTTTTCCAAAATGAAACGATAATCTGAGATTAAATCGTAAGTATAACGATTATGAAAAGGAATAAGTGCAAGAGACTATTCGCAGTTGGAAGAGTTTCTAGTTTTCTAGGCTCTCGAGGATCGTCTTAATGAACCAAAGTTTCACCTGACAACTCTATATCCGCAATAGGGTTACTCTCGATACCAATAATCATCACTCTTTGACCGACGACGCGTCGCAAAGTTCCTCGATTCCGTCGCTGGCGAACCGAATAACCGTCTCCGACTACTTCGTGTCTTCCTTCTATTGCCGACCACCACCTCATCGACGATGCTCGTCATCGTCATGGACGATCGTGCCAAGAATAACTCCACACGAAAGCTGATGTTCATGCCAAGAAAAAATTCAGTCGAGATTCCTCTATCTCACATTTTGAATTTCCCTATTTCCCTATTTTCGTATTTCCTATTTTTCTACTCGGCTTCATTCCTGTATCTTTAATTATAAAACACGTATAATAAATGATGTGTTAGATAGATAGATAGGTCGATAGCTTTGCGATCTGTTGCTTTTCTTTGTCGTCAAAGTAAAATAGTATTGTTTAGATTGGATCATTGGATGAAATTGGATCGAAGCAATAGTTGAGTTAGAGAGTAGTAGATAGGCTAGCTACCTGATCGATAGCAATACTCGAGATGCTCGAGTAAATCTGGCGATCTACCAGCAAGGGGCTCGGCTTGTAAATTCCTCTTCTTACGATGTTACTCGCATATGACGATCGCTTTCAAGGTAAAAACTGCTTGTTTACTATATTACGATATATTCGCTTTCTCCCTGTTGGTTTATTTCAAGATATTTTAATTCCATGGCTGTTTTCCTTTCTATTTTTCGTATTTTTATCTTGTTCAGGCATGGAGTTGTATTAAAGACCCAGGTGTTTCGCTGACAGTAAGTTTCATCATTGCTATGTGGATTTATTGACAGAGAAAATGTTTATTTTCATTTTCTCGAATAGTTAGCCTATCTAAATAAGAATTTTCTTCCTTAGTGAGGGATGTGAATTATAAGTTAACTTGCATATTCACGTGTTTGTTGATTATTACTGTTGAGCTTGGTTTAAGTTTAAATAATGTAAGAGGGAAGTTATCTCCTTGAATCATATAAAATACAGAAGCTCTGAAGAAGCTATGTAAAAAATAGATAACTAGCCAAAAGTGAGTTTAAAATAAAATAAGAGGAAGGATTACTGATTACTTCATGACCTAAAATTTGACTCGAATAAATTTTTTTACTATAAATTAGAACGTTCCAAAAATAATGAAACGCTAATCGAACATACTTTAATCGGAACATCATATGCTGCTAGAATTATCGATTGCCTCGGTTTAGCAACAAATACAGTCACGTGCATAGTGACGGTTAATCGATAATAACCATTATCATGATTATTATTACACAGTACTATATGAGATCCGGCTTCAACGAAATGCTCGAAGGGAATGATTCAATGCAGTCATTTGTACTCTACAGATAATTGCCCCTTGAGGAACATGTTGCAATAATGATTAAAACGAGTAGTATTTATTCAAAATAAGCATTTAATATTGCGCCTGCTTTTGAGAATTGTAACAGGTAAAACTCCTTACTTTTTACGCCTTTGTTTTACGTGCCTGTTTTACGTAACAAAAGTTTATTTGCAAAAAAATAGACAAAATACGACTCGACAATTATATGGTGCACCTTTTATAGAATAAAATAAAAGATATACAACTGCGGAAAAAATTTTTCATCTAGAACAGGGTTATCATTGATTAGATGTAGAAATAGCAAATGAATCTGTACACGCAATAAAAAGACATTCTTTTTAGGCCGTGTAAGTACAGGTCAATGAGTTTTAGAGGCTTGAACTGTCAAAAATATTTTTCAAGTTTCTGAAAGGAATTTTCGTTAATAAGAGGTTATTTTCGTTTAAAAGATACGTATCCTGTGTTTGCATTTTATTTTCAGCTGATTAAGTAAATACCAATCAATTTTCGCGAATAAGAAGATCCTTATAGCTTGTTTCCAAGAGTTTTCGGTATTTCTGACGTTTATAATTTTTATTAATATTTATTAATCAACTGTCATATTTTTTAACAGAATTTTCTAACACTTAATAATAAAATGTTTTAGAGTCTTCCATATTTTTCTTTGCAACTGAACAATATAACTATCAATTTGCCAAAACGATAGATTTTAGTACTTTTGCTTTTGCAATTATCAAAAACTATACACAATATGTGATTTTGGCACAATACAATAGGACCTCATATATAACGCGATCAGAAAATAGCCACCGTACTCTCATATAGCCCAATTGCAAAATTGCTTGAAAACATTCTTATATGTATGTATATTATGATAGTATATTTGAAAGGAGCAAAAGCATATTATTGCCTTGTCTTCGACGTACAAAATAAAGTATCTCTACATTTTATTTAAAATCATGATTCAAATCATTATAATATATATATTATATATTTTTTTTCCATTGTATCACTTTATTTACAATTATTTATACGCAGAATATTTATTATAGTGGGCAAGTTGGTAGTTGTAGTATTAAATATTCTATCAAATTAAAGATGCTGATACGTATATTGCATTAACCTAGACATCCTATATACATACTTATTGTTAGTACCTATATGTAAATTTAAAAACTGACATTTGAGTTGAAATTAGATTAAAATGCTGATAAATATTAAAAGACAAAAGATTAAAGGTAGCATTGTATTTTACATCACGAAAAGTTGGATTTCATCGGTAGTATAAAATCGTAATAGCATGAATTATCATTCAGCCCCATCCGAACATAACGAAAGTGGTTATAGACATAGTCAAATTTGAACAGCAGTAGTAGATTTTCCAATGACTTCAACCCAAATATCCACCTATGTATTTATGTATACATACATATATCGTTGAATTATAAATAAACATTCTCTTAGAGACCACCGTTGTAGAAAATCGCGTTTGAGCATTAAACCTGTTTGATGGAACTGCACGTATATATATCGCCAAGTAATACAACATTTCTTCATACAGCTTCCTAACAAACAAACGATCCTTTGTTTTGCAACGAAGCTTCGTCTTCGTCTAACTTTTTATTCCAGGTTATATATGTATTTCCGTTCTTTTCATATTTCATACGAGGCTTGCCGATCGAGTACATGTGCATTATTGTTCAGAAACTTTAATCGCTTGTAGCAGGAAAGTGATATACAGGGTGTTTCAAAAGTACAATGCCATTAAACATGAACTGGTAGAAGATGGTAAAAGAAATATGGTACATTGTTTAATCAACAATTTTTCGTTTGAGGCTTTGTTTTCGAGAAAATCGACTTTGAATTTTCGCTCGGTACGCGTGCACTTTATCACGTCTCGTTATAACGGATCTCACTGTACATCGTTGTCTCAATGGAAAAATTAAAGAAAAGAAAAAAAAAATTAAAAAAATTTTTATTCTATATTTTCGACTTCTTTTTTCGCGTAGAATCACTCCCTTTCCGCTTATACCACCAGTTACAAACCACCCTGTATATGTATACCCGTATATTGTATATGTATGTAGGTATATACTTTGGTATTAAAGATACTCAAATTTATTATCGCTATGTGATTTAATAGATAATTTCAAATAATTAAATGATTCTATAAAAGATAGTAAGTGCAGCTTGCAATTATTAATGCATGTAAATTCTTTTTAGTAATTTTCTTATTTTCAATATGAAATTCACTTCATTTAGACATTCATCATAATCGAAATACCTTGTACAATACACAAACCATCGTAAGCTTTCATCGACTGTAATCGATCAAAACAATGAAACCCTGTTTTTCTAAATGTTATGCAACAATGTGTACCTATAGAAGCAGAAACAACGTATCGAAAACACAGCAACGAAGTAGTACAAAAATTCTATTAACTCGCCTTGTCGAGTTTCCGTATTATCGAACGTATACCATCCCATGACCTAGACCCAAATACAAATGTGCGAATGCGTCATAGAATGCAATCTCGCCGACCTTGCACCGGTCAGAGCTTATCTTCTCCCTTGGTCGGTTCTGCCCTGCTTTCATCCATCCCCCTTATTGTTAGCCGAGGATTTTTCTACTCCCATTTTATAGTTCGATAAAGTACTATCTCTACTATTTTCTTTCTAACCCCTTGTTTTACTCGCCACTTCGTCTACCATTCTACGAGATGTATCATGAAATCTGAACTTGCTATAAATGAACCATATGTGAAACACGAAACTTGTAGTACCAAGCTATAAATATCTAGTATTTTCAACAATCACAAGAGACGTGATAACATGAGTAGCGTGCACTTTTATCATTTTTTAATACGTTAAACTCCCCAAAACCACAACCTCTATCTATCCTTGTATATGTATATGTATATGTTTTCCATTTCCCTCATCTATACGTGAAATATAAGACTATCGCTACCTACAAATCTCGGTAAATAATGAAAACCTAATGTCTACTTTTTTTTATGAAAGTATACCACGTACTTCCTCATTTTTACACCATACAAAATTTGCTAAACTTCACATTCGAAAATCACACTCCGTTTATCGCATCTATCTATAGGTGCATTCTTTCCCTGTCCCTGTTTTTCTCTCTGCTATTTACCTTCTTTCTTTCATTTTCTTTTTTCCTTCGAAAATTCGTGTGTCTATGTTCCCTTTTCTCTCACTTGTCTATGTTACTATCAGTTTCGCGTATTCAAGAATCAACCCTTTCTATCCGTCACATCTCTTGGAAGTTCCGTATCTTCTGTCTTTGTTTAACGTACACGCGAGCGAGCTGGACTCCCGGGAATTCATCGATCGGCTCCATCCACCCACGACAGACAGTGAAATGGAGGGGAGAAGAGGAATACCGAAGGACTCAGTATCACAATTTCAAGGAGCAACCAATATAGATCGTCGAGTACACAGGATAAGCTTCCTGGTTTAATTTAAAGTTGTTTTTGATCGATTCGACCTGGGATATTCGTATCGCAAATATCACCCCCTAAATCCGTACGTTACTGAGTAATTTATCGATTACACTCGCACGTACACGATGGTTGTAAGTACTCATACGGTGTTTCAACATGATGAACAAAAAATTTTCGTTGTTTGGAGTAATATCGAATTTCTTGAGTAGAAAGTGTTGTAATGCATACGTATATAGAAATATTTTTCAAGCATAATAATTAACTTCTTAAGAAGAAGACCAGAGAAGATGAGTTAAATATTTAATTAATCGAATTTTCCTATATAATTTCTTTATAGGCCTTAAAAACCAGTTACATAGATTATATTTGCAAGGACTAAAATTGTTCTAACCAAAATTAACTAGTCTTTCTTCTCCTTGAATGTTAATTAGCAAAATGATCGGGTTAATAGGTTAACATATTTAAGGTTACGATTTTATTAGATAATGAATGAAATAACAGTTCTGATTAGAAAGGGAAGAAGATAATAAAAATTCTGGAAACATCTAACAAAATTGAATGGAATACTTTAAAAAGGAATAAGAAATTGAGGACTGTATTTGTAATTTTTGTACATAATCGAATGATATTCGATCGATATCGATGATATTTCTTTCTTTCGATTCAACTCGAAGAACTAGATATTCCAGAAGAAGCGAAACATTATTTCTGTACACGATTAAATCAAATTTACGAAGAAGGAAAATAATGTTTATGAAACAGGTTCAAGTATATTTTTTCTTCATTTTCAGTTTCTAGCTTTAGAGATCCCTCTTTCTAGTTAGGACGCAATTCACAATAAGACGCATTTATAGAAAACAGCACAACGTCATCTGAATCAGAAAAAGCGAGGTAACTGCTCTTTATCGACCAAATTATGAAGATAAATGAACAAGATTTTCATAATGGGTTGAGCAGCGCGTCTGCAACATTTTCATAGTGATAACTCGAAAATCGCGTTTTTTCGAGTTGTGTAACATTCATTGCAAATGTGCGATATGATGCGTTATCATGTCAGTCGCATTAACCGGTTAACCGAATTACTTGTTAATTAAAAACTTGTATAATTGTACAATTAAAAATTAAAAAAGACAACAAAATCCACGATTTGTCATTCTTAATCAAGGAAACCAAATTAATTTGATAAAAAAAAATTAGTATAATACTAACATCAAATTCTAATTAAAAAAAATAAAACGAATTAACGTATTAAACGTATAAACGAATTAAAGGTAAGTCAACATCAATCCTTGCAAATATGAATTTGGTATAATTTATTTCTAACAAAAATGGTACAACTTATTAAAAAATAGGAGGTAGGTGTGTAAATAAAAAAATGTATGGACAATTTTTGGAGCATTCTAGAGCTTTTGTGAGTTTATAGGATATATTATATTTTCTACTCGGAAACCCAGCCTGAACAAACTAAATTTCTGTGCACTGCACGGCATGAAACAGCCAGTACATAACTATGTAAAATTGTACATACAGGTATAGGTATATGTTTACAGTTTCCTGTTGAATTTCGTTCGCTATGCTTACTCGTTCCTAGTCGGACAATTTTTATTTTTGTCAAGTTAGTGAGTTTTTAACTCGGTTCTCGTTTCTTTCTCTTTGCGATATTGTGTACTTTGAATTTTCTTTTAAGAAAAAAAGGTAATTGCGACGAATGTTTCTTTTTCGTAGAATCAAACACGAGATGGGACGAAAAGTAAGCAAGCATGAACAGTAATTCGAAGCAGGTACTTTGGATGTGAATGCAAATGAAAATTGACAAGTTTTATGCATTTAATCAACGTCACATTGATTACTACGTATATTTCTTTAAATAAGTGTCATTTCCTTTATTTTAATAATTTTGTACTTTATTCTCAGTTTGATTTGATTTAATTTAATTTAATTTAACGTAATGTAATTTAATTCAACACTAAACATATTAAAGAAATGAATTCGAATAAATTATCTCATATAGAACATCCTTGCTAATACGTTCAATCCAGTTCTATCCAATCCATGAATTCTAATTCTGTCTGCAAGTCTAAATTCTACTTCTGCGAATCAATATCAATGTGACAGTATCCACGTTTATCAGGATACTACCAAATCTTTTTACACCTTTTCTTTGTTTAGTACCAGTAGAATTTTACCCATTTTGCGTCTAATAAGTTCCTTCTTAATTTTTAGGCATTCGTGTTTCTCGAAATATAATTTGAAAGATGGAAGTTAGATAGAAAATTGTCTTACTTATTAAATATTATAAAAAGTGTTCTATAATACTTTAGATATTTTATGTATCCTTGCACGTAAAAATCTAGTTATAAAGTCCTATATTTATAAACACTTACAATTGCAATAATTGTATTTTATTTTATTGTGAAACATTAAATGTAGCAAAATTTACCTCATGCAAATACTACGACCCAAACCGAAGCATATTTAGAAACGTAATAAATTACAAATCGTGCTATTAAAAATATTATTTATATATTTTATATTACTAAAAGTTAAAAACATCGTCAATATCTTGTTAAAATTACTAAAAAATAAAGATAATATAAAAATATCGTATTTTATTTATTATTCAATGTACGGATAGTAAAAAAATTTCATTAGAATTCTACGAGATTTAATAATTCATTCAAATCCATCCTGCGCATCTTATTTACGAACTACCGCTTATTTATAAATATGTTACCTGCTCCATCGATTTACCAGCTTTCCCCTCTTTTCCTTCGAAAGCTTTCACGAAAGTATTGTATCACCTGACCGTACTCGGTTGTGGGACCAGTAAAATGAGATGGATTGTAATAATACTAACGTGTACAGAGAAAAGAAGATTCGAAAAAAGGGCAAAAATACTTTTAATTTATTAGCATTAGGATATCATCACAAGGAGTTTGTGTTAGCAAACAGTTAAACAAGAAGTTACAAGAAAAGCTAAATCAATGTATGGTATAACATACCTACATTCGAGTATATATAATCAGTGTATGTATTATACACTTCATTTAATAAAAACTATCCATTAATTTTCGTGTGTATATATATATATATATATATATATTATTCATTGTTATTAATTTCAAATTATATATGATTATAATAGTTTCACTGTAAATTTTAAACATTGTGACATCGTTTTATGTAAAAATGTACATATATAAATTGTTTAATCATCTGCATAGTCTATACGAATAACTACTAATTACTTATAATAAGTCTCCCGGGGTTTTTGATGCTTAAACAACAGAAAAAAATAATACAATTTCATGTTTTAATTAATAAAATATTTTCAATTCTATATATATAGTATAGATATATAAATATTATAACACATATGTAGAAATTATGCTATAGTATTTCTAACAAGTCGGAGCGATTTATTACTAAGTAGACTATGGATATTTATGCAAATTACAGGCAGTGATAAAGAATTGAAACTGTTATAAATATGAGATATATTTCACTTTTAATGCTTTATACGCATATATATTTCCACGTTTATGTATGCTCACCCTTATTCATTTTTGCGTATATTTGCACTTGGTATAAATGTATGAAAATCTCTAGTCTATTAATAAACTATAAGTAAAATGGAATTTTTTCATCATTTTTTGAACAACTTATCGGAATATTTTTCTATCATTCTCACACATTATTTTATTATTTTTAATTTTAATGCTTTTAGAATATTTTATTCGTTTAAAATCCATATACTACATTATTTATATAAAATATCAATAATCAGTAGAACCTTGAATCCCGACTCCCAGGAGACCAATCGAAGCGCAATGCAAAATATATAAATGTACAAGTAAATAATTAATAGAACAGTACTCACCGAGATCAGAGAGCGAAACTTTCTCCAGAAAAGGATCTACAACGGGCAGCTGAAAATAGAGAATACAAATGAATATTATTGGTTCGTCACAAATGTTATATCATAATATCTATCGTTTTTATCGTCAACTGTATTTTTCATTTCATCTTAGAATCTATTACAGTAGAATATTTTTCATCGGATATTTTTCTGTTTCTTTTATTTCTATACAGCAGTCAGAATGATTTTATTAAAACATTACCAACATGGATAATTATGAAATAAATAAAAAGAGGTGCTCTGACGTCATTTTTTTATACTTTATGTTTTAATAAATCATTTATAATCTACATGGATAATTCTAGTCATTTTGAACAGAACGAACTACACGTGCCACAAAACGTAGGTGTAACTTTAGAATCGAAATTCCTTCCATCAACATACGTATACTGCGACTAAATTAGATCTATATATAATACATATACGACTGCATTAAGTGTATGCATACAGAGCTGCCTTTGCTTTTTGTAGCGACCACTTTTCAAAAGATAGAAATTAATATTATCTCGCTTTTCAGTAGAAATATTATTTCATTGAAAATTTCCAGAGATTAACTTCATTTAAGTACCTATTTCATATTGAAATAGAACACCCATACTTTCATTTTATAATAGCACACCCACACTCTATAATGTGCCCTATATAATAAATTTATATAAAATCGTAAGGAATAAATCCCAACTACGTTTTACAGTTTTACTAATAGACTGCGAATTTCTGTGCACTTACGGGAAATTTAAAAGTGTAAAAAGTGTAAAAAGTGTAAAATGTGTAATAATGCAGTTAAGTGACTTTTTCCCAATTTTCACTATTTTACTTCGGCTTTGTTTTATTAAACAATGAAAAATTTTTAAAATATAATGTTTTTGACATGTTCAAAATTTATCAAACAGGTTAGAGTGGACCTTGGGTCTTTTCAGAGTCAACAATTTTTTAAACAATCGAAATATGTATTTCCATTTTTTCGTATATATATAAATAGCTTTATTGATAGCTAACTGAATCCTAAAATACAAGACAAACTTAACTAACCATTTTAGTAAATTTTAAACGTCAAGTGAATTATATTGAAAAAATATATTTTTATTTCTTTTTACGTAGTAAAGAAAAATTTCTAAATTTGATTCTTTCTTAGTAAAATAATAAAAAGTATATTGATTTCTCGATTAGAACTCCCTCAGTTAAAATAAAGCTACAAATTTCCATAAAAATCCGCAGTCTATTTATTACAAATATCTGTTTCACTTTTATTTGAAGGAAAATTGTTTGCAAGATATGTCCTCAGATATATAGGAAGATATATAGTTAAAAAAATGAAACAATAAGTACCAACGCCTTCTTCAACAAAGATTTTGGACTGAACGGTTGCCTCTTCTTTACGTTTGTCGTGATTTTCGTGTACCAATTCGATAAAATGCCAGACGAGCTGGTACTATGAGCTATGCTGGGACTCTTGGTGACAGTTCCGGTCGGTTCGCTGGTTTGCCGACGAAACACCATTTTTACACAAAGAGTTTACTCGACTCTCACTCTCACAGGATCACAATCCATGCACGATTATATTCGGATTATTCCATTTAAAAAGTAAACTTATATTATTCTATTTCCTTTTACTTTCGACATTTATTGTTTTTTAAGAGATGATTTCATGACATCATAAACTACCAATACCTTCAATGTATGTTTTTCGATGTATTCGATAGATATAGATACTTTTGTTCTTGATATATATATTTATTATTTTCTTCTATGAAAAGATTTTATTTCACGAAAACATTTACAAACTTTTCCTATTAATTTTCATGATCATTCGAACGTGTATATTTTCAAGAATCCTCGAGAATTCTCGAGGTCGGTTTTCGAACAGATCGTCTACAATACCTTGTACATAGATATGTATACGTATGTATGCTAGCGCATTATGATCTGTCTTATCGGAAAATAATTGAACATCGAGATCAAGAGACAACATATAAAACACATTTTATCAATTTCTTCCTCACAGGAACTGCTGATTACACATCCTTCACTTTTTCAGAAAATCAAATCAATTTTTCGGCTTTATTTGGGAGAAAAAGAGACATTCATACACTTTACCAAATGTTATTTGATTCTTTGGAAATATAGAAAGACACGAATCTTCAACAAATCTTCGTGCGAACGATTATTTTTTAAACTTTTATATGAGAATCGGTATTAAATTGAGAAATCTTGTCGTGAAAAAATACCCTATTCAAAATATCCTACAATGACCAGCAGAAATAAAGTTTCCTTTAAATAAACAAAAATATTCTTTCGCTGTCAAAAGAACAAAAAAAAATTATATCGATATTTTTTTTGTACTACAAATCACCAATAATTCTGAAATTATAGTAAACACGTTTTAAGAAGTAACAGCTTCCTAAATGAATTATTTAAATGAATTATAACTTAAAATGATAACAAATTTTATATTCATTCATAAAAACAAAACATTCTCGTTTGGTACGTAGCTTAAAATTTTTGATCGATAAAGTACTACATGAGAGTATTGGGAACTCGATACTCTGTGAACAAAGTTATAGAAATATAAGAATTTCATCAAACACTGAAGTGTCTCGTTTATACGAGATAAAAATTATATCGTTGAAACATCTTTTTTCCCTGTTTTGTTTTCCTGTTGTGTGTTGTGTGATATCTCCCAATTATTCAACGATATATTAAGCAGAAAAGTTTCTTTGCTGTATTTTTAATCGTTTATCTCACAATTATTGATAAATTTAGAAAAATAACCCTACAATCCGCCATGGACCGTATCAACACGGATAAATATCAACACGGATAACAAATGGAAATATCGTAAGAAGATTTCGATGACACAGCTTTCTTCGGTACACTGTACGAATATGTCTTCCGAGGAATGGACGACTGATTCGAGTATCAGAGTATCACAGATTACTAATGCCACATTGGCATTGAACGCCCATGTCTACTAGCATTGAATACGAATGAGTTAAACACAATACACTCAGAAAAATGATTCCTTCTATGACATGATCTGTGCCCGATACCAAGTGAATCGAAAAAGCGTATCCTCTTTGAAATTCTAGCTCACAGGAGGAGGTTTAATTAAAACATTTTGAATTGTACATGCTTCTCTTAACTTCACAAAAATTTTAATGTGATAAAAAATTTGATCACAAGTAAATAAGTAAGGCTTCAAAATTTAAGAAAAGCATACTATTAATTACTTTCAACTAAATTTTTTCGGTTAAACGATGCTATTTTTGAACACTAACTTTGAGAAGGTAAATGTTGAATTAATATTGAAATCAAAATATCCTCTAAACTATTCAGTTTTTGGTACAAATATGCTTTGATACTGTTTTATTAAAAGTACCGATTAGTGCATTATTATAATTATTAATATAATTATTAATATAGAACTTTTCCATCTTTTCTTTTTTGTTTTCGTAGAATGTTATATATTATAGATACTACATGTTATATATACTGTGTATGATATACATATTGCACACACATAATAGATATCGTGAAGCATCGTAGAAATTAGCACGATTCATAAAATTTGCGTATTTAGTCCTGCAAGATCAATAATTTACATATTGCTAATCTTGTTTAATTAAAGATTGTCACTCGTCATATCGTTGATAGGATACTATGTATGTGGTATATTCGAATGCGTGTTGTATCGTTGTCAAGCCTTCTATTTATGGACTTCCGACTGGAATATGTATATTTTTGCTCGCTGATTGAAGAATTTATAACTTACAAAAAGGTAAAGGAGAAAAAAGCAGGAAAATCTCCTTTTATGAGAAACTTCGATAAAAATGAAGATGTTTTCTTATGGCTTCAAGCGATATTTTATTAAAAGAAATAAATATAGCCACTTTTTTCTAATAACTTAGATATAAATAATATTAATTGGATTATAGCAAATTGGATTTAAATAATATCTTTATTAGCTTCTGTCTAATAAACTTCTCTAATAAGTTTCATTTTTTAATCTAAATAGATTATAGCGAATCATGCTATGATTTATCAACTCTAGAATATATTAACTTCGGAATAACTGATAATTAATCAAATCCAAGTTAATGATCCCTACAAAAAGTCCAAAGAATATAGATTATTTTTCATTCACATTTCAAAGAAAATTAAAAAAGATAACTACATATGTACCGATCTAACTACCTTGCTAGCTTTCATAATTAAAAGTATAAAAACGTCAAATAGCTTAAATAGATATAACATTTTTTTTAGATTGTGTATTTGTTATTAATTTAGCTGAAATATATTGTTTACATAGATAGGCATACATAGAAATTCATTTTTCAACCAAAAATTCTCACAATCAATCGTTCACATTTACTTCTCTTCGAGAGAATTCATTGCGATAGAAATGTATCAGAAGATCGAGTAATACCTATCCTACGAGCAAAATAAAACGTTCACGGAATCGTACGAGACGTTCTTCTAGATTTTAGATTCTAGATTCTAGACGACCACGTTTCTTCCACAGTTCTAGTAAATTGCAGCAAGTTTACAGAGATTAGTTTGTCAAGTGTCTGCCGGTATCATTGTCGAGAGTTCGTGAAAACCGGTGAAGACTTTCTAATTTTCTCGTTGATTCTTCAGATTTTACGCCACGTTATCGTTGCGCGTATATGTATAACATTGCGAGTAGCAAATAAGTACAAGTTTCTTGGCAAAGTTCTGTAACGATACATTAGATATGCAAAATTGTAGACGGATAAAAGTAAGAAATATAAGGAAAATTTTAAAAATGAGCAACTAAATAATGCAATTATTGACTTGTCCCACAATATTGTATTCGGTGAAATATTAAGCAACTTTTAAATCTTAACAATAAACAAATAAGATTTCATTACATTTTTTTAAGCATATTATTTTTTTTATCTAATTGTTTGAAGAGAAATAACGGTAAGCATATTTTATTTCAACACGTTATTTCTTAGAGTCATTTTCTTTCAATTTCAGTTAAATGAT